GAGCGGCGGGGCTGGGGGGCGGCCCAGGAGCCCCGGCAGCCCGAGCCCGGCTCGCCCCGCGGGGAGGAGGTGGCGGAGGAGGGCGGCCGGAGCAGGGAAGCCCCGGCGCCCAAGGAGAACGCGTGGACGCGGCGCAGAGCCCGGCGGGACAGCCCTTCCCCGCCCGCGGGGCCGGACGGGCGGCTCGGACCGCAGGAACCAGGTGCGGGGCCGGCAGCGTGTGCGAGGCGCCTTGGTGGCAGCGGGGTGGTTTTGGTTTTGGTTTTTTTTTTTTGTTTTTTTTTTTTTTTTTTTTTTTTTTTATGAAGGAAAAGGTACCAGAGAACAAAAATATGGGGTTTTTTCCCCCCTGCTTATGAAAAAGAGGAAAGGAGAAGAAATCTTTCTATATTTGCATTGCTAATTAGCAGAACGCACACAGATAATACAGTGATCAGTACTGTACACACGTTTTGAGAGATGAACAAACATTGCACTATATTTGAATATGCAAGTGTACAGTTTGTGTAGTTTATGTTGCATCCAGGCTTTTCCACAGGGCTCTACAAAGGACATACTGGAAATTCCCGATGGCGGACTGGGGGGGAGGGGGGCGGGGGGGGTTTTTGTTTTTGTTTTTTTTTTTGGTTTTTTTTTTTTTTTTTTTGTGTTTTTAGGAAGGAAAAGCGCGTGTTTGTCGGCGGCCGCGGAGCCGGGCCCGTGCGCGGCGCGGCGCGGCTGGAGCCGGGCCGGGCGCGCTGGGTTTGACATACATGGGCACGGGAGGCAGCGCTCGGGGCGGGGGACGCGGCCGGGGACGGCAGCGCCGGGCTGGCTGCAGGTTCCGCGGCTTGCGAGCGGCCACCCCGGCCCGGCGGTGACCTCCGGCCGGCCCCTGGCGCTCGCAGAGAGGGCTGCTCGCCCGCTCGTCTCGTTCAGCTGCCTTTAGAAATGCCGCCTTGCCGCGGCTCTTTTTTGGTGAGTTGTGTAGCGAGGCCCTGGGAACGATCCGCTAGTTTGGTTTGGTTTCCAGAATGGGCTTGCGGAGGCTCTGGCGCTGGCCAGAGCAGACGGTTCGCTCGCTGTTGGGATTTGGTGTGTTTACATAGGGACAGTAGCCGCGGGATAATTTCCTGGCCTTAAATCACTACATGGAAGATAAAGCTGCTTTATGGGCAGCACGTTGACTGAACGGGCATATGGCTTTACAAAGCTGGTCGTCAAGGACCTAACTTGAAATTGCTAGGCTTTATGCTTAGGCTAGCAAAGAGTTCCTAGAAGTTTGTAGCTTCTTGGAGTATTGTTCTTGGCTGCAAGTAAACTGCTGACCTCAAAATAAATACTTCAACCAGTGCTTCCCGAGAATTTCAATCTCAGCACTTGCTCCCGAGGGCACCTGACGAACCTTTTTTGTGATCTCACGGTCACTTTTATCCTTGAATTAAACATGTACTTCCTTGACAAAGAGAAATATATAATTTACAGTTTCAAGTATACAGGTCATACAAACAGAGACCGCGTTCCAGACCACAAAATCTCTACTTGGCTGAAGAGCAGAACTTTTGGTAACATATACATACCCATCTTTATTATCTGTACTGTTTTGTTTACGTGTACTGACGCTCTCCTAAGTGCCTGTTTTGTGCCCAGCTTCCAAAATCCAGCTGGCTGGGCAGAATCTTGTGGTCTGCCTCATGCGTGAAAGGGGACTTGTCACTCATTTGCCTTGCTGTGGCAGCAATAGCAACAGTGCTGCATCAGAAGCAGTGGGAAAGCTGCTTTTGTTGTGTTAGCACCTTGAGTGCTTCACCTCTGTAAAGTTTGCTTTCCCAGCAAAGATAAAGCACACAAATAGCTGTTGAAGGAAGGAGGAGGCAGCAAGCAGTGCGCTCATACACTGTGTGCATTGTCTGCTTCATTTCATTATTTTGGAGAGCCTTATATTGTTTTTCTCCTGCAAGAAGTTGTGCCTACCATTTATAGAATTAATAATTAAGCTGAGTAGTTGTACTAGAACACAATTTTCAGTGGCCAGGTGTGTAACTGAGCAAATAAGGGAGTCAGCATTGCTGGCAGTGGCACTGGTGAAGAACACACACCAGGGGTGTGTGTTTTGGTTTGGCCACCTCCAGAAGCACCGTGAGGAAGCCACTGTTCTTATCCTGGTAAAAGGCAAAGCAGCTGATCCTTCCTGGCTGTTTGAAGGAAGAAATTGCCATGTGCCTCCACCCGCAACAAGGGATACATTTGGAAGAAACTAATTGCACGTTGGCAAAGCAAAATCTGTCACACTAGGCCCTTATGAAGTTGTAGTATGGAAATTAGTCATGTGAAATAATAAGTGGATGAGTAGAAATACTACTGGGATGGAATGCAGAACTATCCGTAAAGAGGATAATAAAATGTAAAAGGACCTCACATCAAAGCAGTGACTGGATCCTGCTAGACTTGTTGATCCTGGCGTAATTTGTTAAAAGTTTCCTGAGACGTGCACCTATGGTATGTTCAGTGATAGTTACAGACCTGAGAAAATTGGCTCCAGCCTGTCATCTTGGGACTTTCAATTTATCATGGGATTGGTTTGTGATAGAGGCAAACCTGGCCCTTGTTATGAAAGAAACTGTTAATGTCACCTGATACTGCCAGGAAAATGTAAAATTTTGGCTGAAGAATTTGGTCCATATGTTTAAAGTAGAACTGATTATATTTTTTTGTCTCAGATATCTTAGTGGGTTTTAGTCATTGCAGTAAACCAAGCATCCAATGCAAACATACCTGAATTATGCATGGTGTGTTTGTTACCACAGTTCAGTGTTTCTAACCAAGAGTTTCATTAAACTTCAGAATAATTTCAGAAGCTACTTTTACATCCTCATCTGCTTTTAGCTTGTGGAGAAGGACTCGTATCAGGTATAAAATGGCTCATGAAATTAATAAGCTTCTCTCTAGTTCAGAAGAATTGTTTCCCTGAGAAAGTGTTTAAGCTTTGAAAGACACTGCCCAGGGAGGTGTGAAGTGTCAGTCCCTGGAGGGTTTCAAGAAATCACTCAGTGCCAGGGTTTAGCTGACAAGGTGGTGTTTGGTTAAAGGTTGGACTCGATGATCTTGGAGGTCTTTTCCAACCTTGGTGATTCCATGATTCTAATCCTGGTGCTCGTGGTTGGATGGAGTGAGCTTTATCAGAAGCTACCAGGTGATGAAAGGTACTTCTGAGATGTGTCTCCCTCCCCTTGTAGTGCCAAGCCAATATATCCTCACTTCTTTAGGTTGAAATTGTGAGTTTGCCATCCTCCACATAAAAAAAAATCACCCAGGATCGAGTGGCTGAAATAAATGTATTTCAAAAGTTCTCCCACCTCTTCATCTGATGAAACCTTCAGCACTGCCCTTTTTGTGAGGCTGCAGAAAAGGAATCTGAATGACAAGTTCTCAATTCTTCATGTGATTTGTGTAGCTGATATGAGTCTCTAATGACTTATTAGATGATTATTCAAAAGTTGTTCATGAAATTCATGAAAATATTCAGTGGAGCAAAATACTTGTGCTGCTGAAGTGGTTGAAGTGGGTTTGCCTATTAGTGTGTGCTTGAATGATGTAGTTAATTAAAAGAAGTGCACACAATTCTTTTATTTTGTGCTTATTGTGTTTATTTCTGGGCATCAAAGAATACATTTTATCTGTTTGATATTTTGGTAGCAGAAGCATTTCACTGTAGTGTATTGTATAAATCACTTTGCTTTAGCCTGATAGCAAAACAGTTTGTAAAGTTTAGTGAAGATACCTTGTGTTGCTAGGATTAGCAAACCTTAGATGAGTAAATTCATAAATTATCTGATGATCAAATCTTTTGGGTGTATTTAAGTCAGGTGTTCTTATTAGTTCTTATGAATTAATGGAGTGTTTTAATAGCAGCATCTAAAAATTATTCAAAGCATTATCAGAAGTTTCAGCATTGATAATTTTTCCAACCCTAAAGGGATTAAAAACGTTATCCATACAAAGCTGCTTGCCTGTATTTTAGTTGTACATAACAGCATGTGTAATTTTGTGTGGCTGTTTTTTTGTCTGGGGTTTTTGTTTCTAAACTGGAGACCTGTTATGAAACTGAAACCCACCTCCCTGTGCTATGGCATGTGCTACATTTAACCATGAAAACTTTGGTAGAAATTGAGTCACAGGTTGCAGTTTTCTGTGAAGAAGCTAATAAAAAGAGGAACTGAGAAATTAAATCTAAGGAGAGTAAATAGCATCATGGTGAATCAATCATGTATTGTGGATTTTTTTCTTCCCCTATTGCTTCCTGTATTGAAAAATTGGTGGGTTTTGAACATAAATAGGTGGACATGTGCAGGTGTCATGACTTGCTCCCTTGGTTAATTGTTCAAATATTGTGGAGCTTGACAATCTAATGTAGTTTTTATAAAATTCTAGAACTCCTGTAGGGCAGAATGTTAGCATAGTAATAGGGATTTTTTTATTGTTTTGCAGAATCTCTGCTCTAATCCATGCTTTGGATTTTAATTAATTATATTCTCCAAGGGATATTTTTTGTTACATTTGCAATAATTCATCTGTTAAAGCAATAGATATAAGCATAGCTTACCTTGTTTAAATATTGAATATACTGTCTAGTTTCAAACTGAGCATCGAAAGAAAAATATTGTACAAGTTCAACACACAGGCCTCCAATTAAGTTTTGAAGAGCTGGGTGGTTTTATCTGCTCCCTGAAGCACTTCTGGTATTTATGTGGTGCTGTTCCTTCACAAAAGGGAGCACACGTGCAGTCCAAGTAAAAACAAAACCTGAATATTGTCTAGAAAGCCTCATAGCATAAACAGTGTTTGTATCAAAAATTAGAATGCATTCCACCTCTATTAATAGACT